TCTCCCACTCATGTTCCCCAAGTAAACACATAGAGGCTTAATATTATTTATAACTGCTTGGCCATTAACTCAGGCTTATTACTGACTAGCTCTTACACTTAAATTAATCCATGATTCTTATCTATGTTTAACCATGTGGCTTGGTACCTTTTTGTTCTGCCTTCACATCTTGCTTCCTCTGTGGCTGGCTGGTGACTCCTGACTCAGCCTTCCTCTTCCCAGCATTCTCTTTATCTGCTTACCCTGCCTATAGTTCCTTCCTGGCTACTGGTCAATCAGCTTTTTATTTATCAACCAATCAGAGCAACACATATTCACAGCATACAGAACAACATCCCACAGCACTGTCCCTTGGAACTGGAGTTATAGATGGTTGTGAGCCACCATGAAGGTGCTGGAAACTGAACCCCATCCTCTGCAAGAGCAGCCAGTGCTCATAACTGCTGAGCCATCTCTCCAGCCCCAGGTGCGGTGTTTCTCATAATGGCCTCTGACTTGAAGACCAGGCTGCAAGTGGAGCCCCTTACAGCACCTGTAGTTTTTTCTTCCACTCCTGAGATGGAATTCACCCATCCTCCCACTCATTCACTGCCTGTATTTTGCAGAGTGGGTTATTTATCAAGAGCACCAGCTGTAACATCAGAACCAGGTCCCAAACCTGGTTCTGCACTTTCCTTCGTGACCTAATGTCTCTGAGTCTAGCCATCCAGCGTGTCAGATGAGAGTGAAACTCACTGTATGGCATCTTCGTAAATACCAAATGAGGTAAAAACACAGCCAAGCATATGCCCTGAAGCTAGATCATGGTGCATGGCCAATGATGGTCACAGTCTGAGGCCTTATTTTATGACTCTCTTATTTATGCATTCACTTCTGATTCCCATGTGGTCATCAATAAGCTGGCTTCAGCATTTACTTACATGTCACATATTGAAACAGGTATTTCTGTGGCCCTAGTCATTGCAGCAATGGGCACCAGCAATCAACAAGAGATAGACTGACCTCTGAATAACTTGTGATCATGTTAGCAGAAGGTGGAACTGGCTACACAGGTCCCAAGGATGAGCAATGGGAGTGGCATAGAGAAAGACTGTTCTATAAAAGTGTGTGTGTGTGTGTGTGTGTGTGTGTGTGTGTGTGTGTGTGTGTGTGTGTGTGTGTGTGTACAAGACTGGAATGGGGTAAAATGTCAGCAGATCACAAGCTGTTCATTATCCGGAGTGAACTAAATATGTAGGCAATTATTGACAGGAGCCTGAAAGGAGCAATCGGGAGAATTGGTCCCCAGCCAAATCCCATCTCCTTTTTGAGCAGGAGCAGGGATTGGTTGACCAGAGTTCGAGCAGGCATTTTACAAAGAGGGGGCAGGCAGGGAGCTACAGGGTTCCCTGGCCAGATGGAGTAAGCAGTAGTCCCCCTCACCCCACCCATCCAGCCAATCCGGCAAGCTCACTCATCAAACACATGGGGCTTTGCTTTGAAAGGGGTTTTATGCCCAGGTTCCAGCCTGAAAAACCCCTGCCTGACCACTCTCCCCCTAAGATGTCAGCTTTTGAGATGATTTCATGTGGAAGCACCGCTAAGTAAATTCGCTAAATGCCTATTCATTCCCATCAGATGGGGACCCGGTGAAGCGGGAAATGTGAAAATGGCCCTAGATCCAGCCCTGAAAGATGCTTTCTGGGGTTGCCAAATGGAGCCACAGCAGGCTGACCCTGGGAGGCCTGAGACTTCCCAGAGGGGGCTCCTGGAGCTTGGCCTCAGCCCCTTCAGTCCTCCCACCTAAGCTTCCCAAGAGGCCCTGTTTATTATTCCTGCTGCTGGAGACCCATTCAGAGGTTAACTTGTCCTTTTATTCATCAGAGCGACAATAATGAACTGTCGCAGAGTGTGGCAAAGGGTTTGGTAAATAAGAGCGGCTGAGGCGAGGAAATGTAGTGGGCCTCTGGATGGCTGGGAAAGACGTTTCTTTATAAGGACATTGCATTGCTGCTTACCCCAGCAGCAACTTGGAGGCCCTTTTTAGCATCAGGCCACAGGAACCTTAGAACCTTGGCCACCTTGGTTGTCACTGTCCAAACACATGAAGGCTGGCCTTTTGGGTCTACCCCTAGGATTCACCTCTGTGTACATCAGGAGAGCTCTGCATCCTGTATACAATAGACTTTTACCAGGCTGCAGATGCAGGAGGCTCTTCAGGCATCTGCCACCCAAGTAAGAGGCTGGGACATTGATCATACTTATTTTCACCTCAGTATCTCTTAACTGCTCTGTTCCATCCTTTCCACTCAACTGGATTTATGAGTTAGTCAACATACACCATCCAATGAGTGGATGAGGGTTCAGAGTGGCTATTCGACAGAGTGGCAGATAGAGGGATTTAGGGCTGAGGGTAGAACAGACCAAGTAAATGAAGTTTCTGTCCCGCCATCAACTCCCAAATACCTGGCAGCTGCTTCCCACATAATTGACTGGGAGGCTTATTATTACTTATAAATGCTCAGCTGATAGCTCAGGCTTATTACTAACTAGCTCTTACACTTAAATTAACCCATAATTCTTATCTATGTTAAGCCATATGGCTTGGTACCTTTTCTCAGTGTGACATTCTCATGTTGCTTCCTCTACTTCTGGCTGGTGACTCCCAACTCCGCCCTTCCTCTTCCCAGAATTCTCCTAGCCTGGTCACCCCACCTATAGTTCCTGCCTGGCTACTGGCCAATGGGCATTTTATTAAACTAATTCGAGTGAAAAATCTTTCAGTGTACAAGAGCATTATCCCACAGCAAGACAAGGCTGCTGAGAGGTAGAAAGGGCAGAGCAATGTACATTGAATGTGCACCTACTATGTGCCCTTAAATATGCCCATCCTCCTGATGAAAATGCATGGTGAACCTATGGTGTGCTCAGTGTGTTTAAATCTAAGCAGCCAGGAGGAAAAGAGTTGACAGAGGGTTACTGTTCAGAGAGTCTGGTGGCTTGTTTATCCTTTACACATGGCATGGGCTGTGGTAGTGCAGCTGGAATTCACTTCCAGATCCTTTTCTTTCTGGAGCTTGGGCATTGCTTTCTAAGACACTGCCCTGTTTCTCTTCAGTCCAGCATTAGGGTTAGGGAGGTGGCACAGTAGAAAAAGCATGTGTTACTCAAGCATGAGGACCTGAGTTTAAAACTCCAGCATCCAGAGAAAGGCAGAAGCAGCAGTGAGCATCTGTAACCCCAGCATTCTGACTGTGAGATGGCAGACAGAAGCAGGCAACTCCCTAGAAGCTTGCAGGCCAGCCAGACTGGTGTGTGTAGTGGTGAACTAGAGACCCTGACTCAAACAAGGTGGAAGGTGGGGGTTCCAAGGCTGTCCTCTGACCTCCATACATAGGCCATGGCACATGTGTGCTTGCACTAACATTCACAGGCACATACAGAGAAGAGACACACCCCAACACGCGCACCACACACACACACACACAAAAAGAGTCCAACCCCATTGTGTTCCCATAGAGCCTCTTTCTTCCCATCTCACCCAATCCAGAAGAGTGGTTAGCCCCTGCCCTCTAAGAAGCACTCCCCCCAAGCAGAGCATCCTGGTGACAGAGGAGCTGTCACATCAGGACCATTTACCTGTTTGGGTCTGTTCAGTGGAAGAGGCGACTGCATCTCTGGCAGATGGAGACCTGTGTGACTGTCTTTTAAAATACTGTCACAGCTGTATGCACAAGCTGATTAGCTGTGACGGCACTGTGAACGCCGAGATTGATGGTGATAAATTTGGGATAACAATGCTGGGAACAATGTCATCCGTTTGCATGGCGCTTCATATTTTTTAAAGCTCTCTCAATCCTCAGCCCAGTGGTTATCGAGCACTTGGATTCATTCACTGCTCACTGTGCACCAAAGGAGTTGGTACTCAATCAGCTCATCTTCATTCCTGCATTCCTTCTTCATCATTCATTCATTCACCAGACATTAGTGTAGGTCCTACTGTGTGCCAAGAATGACTCTCTCCTTGTGGACCTTACATTGTAAGGTAACCAAGAGAGTGCTTTCATATGGTGATAGAATAGTCAAATCAACATTGTGATGTGATAAAGGTGGGGTGGAGGAGGCAGGGGCTACTTTAGGTGGAGTGGCCAAAAAAAAACCCTATCTGAATAAAAGACATTTGAAAGACCTAAATGATAAGAGCAGGCAAGAAATTAAGAGATATAGGCCGAAATGGCCCAGGCACAGTAAGTGCAAAGGCCCTGAGGCTGATCTGTATATGACATTAGGTATACTGATGGCTATTGTTGACCACACCCAATGCTGAGCATAGATACCAAAGCATGTAAGACACAATGCTGTCCTCAGATTTCCTTGCACAGTGGAGTATGTCGGAGAGAGATACACAAACAGCCTGTGCTGGTTAGCTGTAACTGTCAACTTGACAAAACCTAGGATCACCTGGGAAGACAGTTGTAATGAAAGATTGTTTATATTGGGTTGGCCTGTGTCATATCCGAGGATGGGCAGAGTCAGAATTAATTGATGTGGGAAGACCCAGCCCACTGTGTATGTCACCGTTCACTGGGTGGGTGAGGGGAGGACCTGACCTGTATAACCGTGGAGAAACCAGGCTGAGCATGACAATCAGTCAAGACAGTGAATGAGCATGCATTCACTCTTCTCTGCTCTTGACTATGGGTGTGATGTGTCCAGCCATCTCAAGCTGTTGCTTGCAGTGAGGGATGATAACCAGGAATTGTAAACTAAAATAAACCCTTTCTCTCCAGAAATTTCCCCTTTCTGGGATGTTACAACACAATAACCAGAATGAAATTAGAAGACAGCCTGTTCTCACATAATGTGGCAGGCCCAGGGACAGTACCTATCTAGAGGCTGTGCAGTGTGGTCAGAACAGGAAAAGAGTGAAATCTCTTTCCTAGGACTAAAAAGGGAGCCAAAGCCCAACACTCCCATCCTCTACAGAGGACCCTGACTTTCTCTCCTGCTTGTTTCCACAGGACAAATGATCAGCTGGTGGCATTTCTCTCCCGATACCGAGATATGAATTTCCTGAAGTCACATGGCCGGGACAATGCAAGGTAATGCACTGAGCACCACAGGAATGGGAAGCTGTCACTGGAGCCTTTCTTCTGGATTGATTTTACACAACCAGAGAAAAGTCACCTGTGTGAGAGCTCAAGGGTCCCTCTTGTTGGCCAAGGACAGAGAAGCAGTTGCTTCTCACAGGCTCAAAGCTTTTCTCCCAAGAAATCTTTTGAATTTATTCCTGTATGTGGGTGCTTGCATGAGTGTTTAGGTACACATGTGTGTACAGGTGCATGTGCACCTGTGTATGTATATGTATGGGGGTGCACATGTGTATGCAGGTGCACATGCACCTGTCTACGTATATGTATGGAATGCACACATATATGCAGGTGCATATGCACCTGTGTGTGTGCACATGTGGAAGCCAGAAGACAGCCCCAAGCATCATACCTCAGGTACCATTTACCATTTTATTTTTTAGACAGACTCTCTCACATGGGTTCTGGGGATCAAACTCAGATTCTCATGCTTACACAGCAAACACTTCATCAGCTGCAACATCCCCCCCGCAACCTTCTACATCTTTGTTTTCCCAAGGAATTTTATGAGTTCATTTTTATTCTGGTAATCCTAGGAGCTGAGTAGTCATGGTTAATTCTCATATTGTTGAGAGGCAGACTGAGGACTGCATCTAAATCATGGCCCCCCATCATTTAATCCTTGTGCCTGTCACTCAAGAGCTACTTACCTCATGCCAGCCACATGCCAGGCACTGCTCTAGCAGTCAACAAGAGCATCTTCAGACCCTCAAAGGATTTACTTTCCAGATGAAAGACTCATGATAGCATCAAGTTAAATCCAGAGGTCCAACCTTCCAGTCTGTGTCTTCCACACTTCCTCCCGCTGCTGGTATGGATAGAGACTAGAGGGATTCAGAACCCCTACCTCTCCCACTCAGAGTAAGCAGGGTCAAAAACTAGGAGCTTGACTTGAGGAGATGGCTCAGTCTGTAAAGTACTTACTTGTGTAGCTTAACCTCTCTGAGGCCATTCCTTTACCAGTAGAGTGAAACAGCAACAGTCCTATATATGTAGGATTAAATGAGATGTTGCCTGTGATGATGATGATGATGATGAGGAGAATGATGATGTCATTGCCATGGTAAGCATAAAAACCAAAGTCCTCCTGGTAGGAATGTATCTCAGCTCTCTGTCCTGCATGTATGAGCACACCCTGTATGACCCAGGTACACCAGTGGTGGGCATATAGTGCCTACAGAGCTCAGAGCAGCAGGACATGTTCCTACATATGCCCAAGTATCTCAGATCAAATAAAGCCCAAGTATCTCAGATCAAAATTGTTTACATGTTCCTATATTCACTCTTTACATCCCCAGTTGGCACTCTCTCATTTACATGAATTAAGGACAATATATTTTTAGTATTAATTTAGTGACAAAATGAATTATTGTGCCATTGCCTACAACTTACTTTTCTTTGTTAGTCAACTCTTCCCCTGATGTGTGAACTAGGTTTCCCACAGCCCCATCCCCCATTGCCTCTTCACAGTGGGCAGGGATGTTCCCTGACAAGTGCTGTGGCACAAAGAATTCTTTGGCAGTGAGTGACATAAGCCCATTTCAGGCTAACTTGTGGATGAGGAGAGTTACTGGAACAAGTTACACTAACTTCGGGTATGGCTGAATTGAGCAGCTCAAACGACAGCACCAAGCCTTGATGATTCCATTTTCTTGAGTGTTGACTTGATTTTCTAGCTTTAGATTGTGGCCAGTAACAACTCACTCACTGATTTTATCTTGCAAGCAAGGAAGATGAGATACAGAGAAATGTTGGACTCGCAAAATTAGGGCAGGGCTAGGATTCGAGCCCTACTGAGTATGTCCAAAGAGGCCAATCCAACCTTCCCAAGGGTGTTACCTCCCCGTGTGCCAGTCCTGCTTTGCTCCAGTGTACCAAGTGATTTGTTTTTTAATTATCAGTTCTTTGAGAATTCTGCACTTGTGTGTCTTAAGTTACTATTGCTGTGATGAAACACCATGACCAAAGTAACTTGGGGAGGAAAGGATTTATTTGGCTTATGCTTCCATATTACTGTTCATCATCGAAGGCTGTTGGGACAGGAACTAAACAGGGCAGGAACATGGAGTTAAGAGCTGACTCAGAGGCCATGGAGGAGTGCTGCTTGCTGCCTTGCTCATCATGGCTTGCTCAGCCTGCTTTCTTATAGCACTCAGGGCCACCAGCCCAGAGATGGCACCACTCACAATGGGCTGGGCCTGACCCCATCAATCACTAATTAAGAAAATGCTCTACAGGCTTACCTACAGCTTGATCTTATGGAAGTATTTTCTCAGTTAAGGTTCCCTCCTTTCAAATGACTCTAGCCTGTGTCAAATTGACATTAAAAACCAACCTGCACAATGTGTTTGATTATATTCATCCTTTTTCCCAACTCCTCCCAGAACCATCCTCTTCCCTATACACCCTACTTTGAACCCTTTTTATTTTTATTCTAAAACAAAAATATTTAAAACCATCAAAACCAACTTGTAATGCCCATGTACCCTTGGCACTGTGGCCTTCCACTGGAGCATGGTCAACTTACCAGGAACTGTGTTCTCCCCCTCCCTCCTCCAGCAGCTATCAGTTGCCAGGAGCTTCTTAGCTGGAAGTAGGACTTCATGCCCACCTCCCCTCTCCATGTTGGGATTTGGTCTGACTTGCACTTGCACGGGTCTTGTGCATGCTGGCACCACTGCTGTAAGGTCATGTTGCTGCCCCTGTGTCCAGAAGACAGTGTTTCCTTATGGTCATCCCTGCCTCTGGTTCTGACAGTCTTTCTGTCCCCTCTTCAGCAACTGTCCCTGAGCCTGGGGAGAAGGTCTCATTTAATACTTTGTCGTCTCGTATTTTCTTCACTGTGTCCAGTTGTGCATCTCTATTAGTTGCCATTGACTTCGACTAGAAGCTTCTCAGATGAGGGTTGAGATGTGCATTGTTTATGGGTATAACCGTCAGTCATCAGGAGTCGGTTTAATAGGTCCTTTTAACAGAATAATAGTAGTAGAGTCTCCCCCAGGCCTTATGACCTTGTAACCATACGGTTCGTGGCCCTGATAATGTGCTGAGGTGATGCTGAGGCAGCTGCTCAGCTTAACTGAGCCTCAGTGTTCTTCCCTTTGCAGAACAATAGAGTCGGCTGAGCTAGTCTCCAAAGTCCCATTCCACTCTGGCATGGCTTGTCTCTAGAGTGACTCTTGTAAGAGCAGGCGACAAAAGCAGGGAGCTTGAGAGGCAGCAAGATGCGAGGAACAAAAGCAAGCGGTGGGATGCAGCACAGGTTGCAGGGTACCTCGGTTTTTATTTCTATACAGAGCCTAACAGCCACCCTGACCCCTCTGTGCCTGTCTCCAGCTCTTAGCAGCTAATTTTGACTTTCAGCTCCCACTGTGAGGAGATGGCATAAAAGCAAACTTGTATTTTAATAGCTGCCAAATTGGTCCTGACTGTTCTTGTAATTAAATGAACAGGAGTGCTGTGTTCCCCATTTCCCCTACTTTTCATCCAAAAAATATAAGTGGCCAACGGGGTGACTGATGTGTGGTGCGCTCATCATTTCCTAGGGAGCATCAGCAGGGCTGAAGCTTGAGCCCTGAATAATGGAAATGTCTCTGGGAGCTCCTTGCTTCTGCTCAGATGCAGTCCTCAGTGGGTGGGTGTGTGGGGACGGGGAAGTAGAAAAGACAAGCCAGCTCCCTCCAAAACAATAGTTTCTTGTGGGATGTTTTCTGCTCTGTGCAAAAACCAAGAGCCTGGTGTTTGGGAAGGGATATAATGTAAACAGTAAGGCAAAAATGCTGGTATCAAAATGTCATCTCTGCTACATCCCAGCTGTGTATCCAGCATTTAGCTCCAAATGGCCCCTGCCTCTGTGTATAGCAGGCAAATAGCAACAGGGTGAATTGGCTCACAAACTACAAGGAAGGCGCCAAGCTGGATACTTTGAATATGTTACCTCATTCCAACCTCTCTTGATAGATGCTCTCCCATTGGAGAGAAGTATGCAGCTTAGGACTAGACAATCACTTTGTCTTACCCCAACCTCCAAGGTCCTAAGGCTTGATGCTGAAAGAGCTCCAGCATAAAAAGTTAGGCATCCAGCCAGGCAGTGGTGGAGCACACCTTTAATCCCAGCACTCGGGAGGCAGAGCCAGGTGGATCTCTGTGAGTTCGAGGCCAGCCTGGTCTACAGAGCGAGATCCAGGACAGGCACCAAAACTACACAGAGAAACCCTGTCTCAAAAAAAAAAAAAAAGTTAGCCATCCAGACTCTGAAGTCAGAAGACCAGAAGTCACCTCCCCACTCTCAGTACTCACTATGTGAGACGATCCGTAAACCACATCAATTATCTGCTTATCTGCTCCCTGGTCTGTAAAACTGGAGTGGCAAGAATAACGTCAACCCTGTAGAATCTGCTAGAATGTACTGAGTTTGCCAGGCATGATGGTGCAGACCTGTAATACCAGCTACTTGGAAGGCTGAAGAAGGAAGATTGCTAGTTCAAGGCCTGTCTGGGAGACTTAGTGAAACCTCCTCAAAGTAAGTTCTTAAAGGAGCTGTATGTGGCCAATGAGACACTCAGTGAGTTACAGTGCTTGGCCATAAAAGCCTGGTGATCTGAGCTTGACCCCAAAACCCAGGTAAGGGTTGGGGGAGAGAACCAACTCCACAGAGCTGTACTCTGTTCTCCACATGCACATCTTGGCCCATGGAGATACACGCACGCGTGTGTGCACACACACACAGGGAGGGGAGGGGAGAGATAGACTTAGACAGAGTGACAGAAAGACCAAGAGGAGGAGATATTATTTTTTTTAAATGACTGATGGTTCATTGGGTAAAGATACTTGTTGCCAAGCTTGAGCACCTGAATTCAATCCCCAGTCACCACACGGTAGAAGGAAAGAACCAATTTCTGCAAGTTTTTCTCTGACCTCCACATATGTGCTATGGTATGTGAACACATACG